AATGACAGGCATCTGGGTTGGAGAGATGGCTCAGAGGTTAAGAGCACTGGCTGCTCTTCCAGAGGTTCTGAGCTCAATTCCCAGCAAACCCATGATGTCTCACAACCACCTATAATGAGATCTGTGTGCCCTATTCTGGCCTGCAGGTGTACATGTAGACAGACACTATACCTATACCTAATAGATTTTTTTTTTTTGAGGCAGGGTTTCTCTGTGGCTTTGGAGGCTGTCCTGGAACGAGCTCTTGTAGACCAGGCTAGTCTTGAACTCACAGAGATCCCTCTGCCTCTGCTTCTTGAGTGCTGGGATTAAAGGTGTGTGCCACCACCACCCGGCCATAATAGAAAAATCTTTTAAAAATTCATTAAAAAAAATGACAGGTATCCCTGACTGGACCTGCCTCCCTATCCTCTTCCTCCCGTTCCCAAGTATTGGGCTTAGATGCATGTACCACTACACTGCTTGCTTTTATGAAGCACAGGGATAGAACCAAGGATTCCTATGTACCACGAGAGCACTCTACCAACTGAGCTACACCTCTAGCCAAATATTAAATTTGAACATGATTCTATGTCAGTAGCAAAAGTATCCCTGTGGTACTTTTTCAATGCATGCATGTATGTATTTGTGTGAATGTACATTCGTGTGTGTGTGTGTGTGTGTGTGTGTGTGTGTGTGTGTGTGTGTGAGTGTCAGAGTGTGCATGCACACTCCTGCCTGTAGTACAGTGTAGGCCAGAAGACTTCCTCTGGTGTTTTAAGGGAGACACTTCCTGATCTCATCAACTAGGCTAAGCTGGCTGGCCAGCAAGCTTCCATCTTCCCAGCCATGGGTTACATAGATCGGCCTGACCTTTTTTAACCTTGGGTTCTGGCACCTGAACTCAGGTTCTCATGGGGAGACTGAGGCATTTCACCAGCTTCCACTCCTTGTTAAACCAATGAGGAGATTTTATTTTTACCAGCAGACACCACACCAACTAAACCATAGCGTAATCACCTTTTGTAATTTTTCTAAAAACAGATGAAGAGTATGCCATTGTTTGAGTAAGCCTTGTAATTATGAATTTCTGGAGACAGAAATCCATATTCTTTCCAAATCTTCCCCCATCTCTTCCCCTCTTCCTTCTCTTTCTTTCCCTTTTCTCCCTCCCTCCCTCCTCCTCTCCCTCCTTTCCTCCCTCCCTCCTGCCCTCCCCCCTTCTTTTTTTCAGTGCCTTGAGTGGGTCTCATGTAACTGGTTTTAAATGTCTGATCCTTTTTTCTCCCCCATCTCCAGGCTGGCCTCAAATTCAACAGGGAAGCATAAAGCTAATGTTGAGCCATTTGTCTCCTGTTTCCATCTCCAAAGTGCTGATATTATGTACATCAATTATTGTGCTCCACTTTGCTTCCTACTGATAAGCCCCACTGTCCTTTAAGGGAAGACACAACTGCTCTTACACAGGTCGTGGGTTTGGTTTCAGAACAAACACAGCAGCTTGAAACCCTCTGTGACTCCAGTTTGAGGGAATCTGACACCGTCTCTGGCCACCACGGGCACTGCACATGCAATGCACAGACATGGGGTTTCCATCTGGGTGCCAGCTTTCTTCATCTCTGCATGTGGCCTATGTGAGGCCAGGCTAAGGAGGGGAGCACTTGCTTGAATTTCACCATCTCATCTGCAAAACTGTTCTTTTGCAATGCCCAATATTAAAACAGTGGGAGAAAGAAACTGACTAGTTCTGTGCTGGAAGTGCTTGCATTCAAAGATGAGTGGGCAGAAAGAAGTGCAGAAGGAAGCAAGAGGAAACCCCACACACAAAAAGAGGAAGGAAACCCAGAAGATATTTGAGATATCTGGACCAAACCTTGAAGAAGAGCCAAAGACTGAGTAGAACCAGAGGAGGTTAAAACACACACACACACACACACACACACACAAAACACAAGAGGAGAAAAAAACATCAAAGGAAACTTTCAAGGAAAGGCTGATTCAAGATCTTCAGGCGCTTAAAGAGGGTACACAACAAGCATTTAAGCAATGAGACCATGTTGATAGAAGCAGATGAAACATGGCACCAGGAGCATGAGAAACGCACGGTGATGTTTGGAAGGCTAATTGAGACCATCCTTACCCCCACACAATGGAGTTCCCCTGGGTTTCTGTTTTATCTGACAGTTCCAAGGCAATATTGCTGTTTTTATTAGCATTTTCTTCTCATATTTTAACCTGTCTTCCTACTTTGAATCTGTTGCTGTTAATGGTTTAAACATATCTCTTCTTACCTTGTTGGTTTTTATTATATTTGGAATCAATCTGCAGGTCTCTGGCTTTTCATAAGAGAACATTACAGATTTTTAAAACATGAGCTTCTGATGGAATACTTGGTGAGATAGGTTACACTGCATTACAGAATATTTGTGAAAGCTGAGTGGTGGTGGCGGATGCCTTTAGTCCCAGCACTTGGGAGGCAGAGGCAGGCGGATCTGTGTGAGTTTGAGGTCAGCCTGGTCTACAGAGCAAGTTCCAGGACAGCTAGGGCAGACAGAGAAACCCTGTCTCAAAACAAACAAACAAACAAAAAACCTGTGAAAGACAAGAGGTCACTTATATATTACATAAGTGCCCGTAAAAACTAGTTAATGGTCGGACATTGGTGGCGCACACCTTTAACCCAAGCACTCGGGAGGTAGAGACAGACAGATCTCTGTGAGTTCCAGGCCAGCATGGTCTACAGGAGTTTCAGGACAGGCTCCAAAGCAATACAGAGAAACCCTGTCTCAAAATAACAAAACAATTTATAATTAGGTTGGAGAGATGACTCAGTGGTCATAAGCCCTTGTTGCTCTTGCAAGAGAACCTGGGTTCAGGTCCCACATCCATCTGATGTTCACAAGCATCGATCACTCCAGTTTCAGGGTATTTAATGCCCCAGTTTGACCTTTGTGAACACCAGGCTAGCATGTAGGGTGCAGATACAGATGTAGTGTACTAATCCCCCTGACTGCGAGGACTATGCATAAAGGCCATCACCCAAATTCTTTGGTTGAATTAAGCCATCTTTATTTTCTGTCATACAGGCTGTCTCCCTAATTTGGGGGTTTGAGAAAACAGCACTGAACAAAGGAGAAGGTGTGGTTTTATACCTCCCCAAACTGCAAGACTAGGGGTTTTTCAAAGGTTGGGGGATATCCCAAGGAATTCTGTTTCTGTAGGAAGTTGGCTGAACTTCTCAAAATTATTTGGCAGATCATCTTATCTATGTTTTGGTGGTTAGGGTATAGTGTGTAGAACATGTAAATTCCAGAAAATGTGTCAAGACCTGGTCAAATCCAAGTTTTACAGAAAACAGGAATGAACTTATTTTGATCTTGTAACAAGATGGCTTTTAATCTTAAGATGGAGTCAGACTGGTTCATCACAGTAAAACACAAGGAGATATATTATATAAAAATAAAATTTATAACACACACATATATATTTGTTTTTTTTTTTTTTTAGAAACAGGGTCTCACTGTGTAGCTCTGGCTGTTGTAGAACTCGAATTCACTATGTAGATCAGGCTAACAGATATCTACTTCCAAATCTACTCTGCTTCCCAATGGCCAGCTTTAAAAATACCTTTGTAAAAATAAAAGTTTATAGCTATTACACACACACACACACACACACACACACACACACACACACACACACACACACACACACACACGGGGAGGGGGCAGAGAGACAGAGTGGGTGCCAGGCAGTGGTGGTGGTATACATCTTTAATCCCAGCATTTGGGAGGCAGAGGCAGGTGGTCTACAGTGTGAGTCCTAGGACAGCCAGAGCTACACAGAGAATCCCTGTCTCCAAAATAGACCACTGTAAAATAGACATGACAAACCCTGCTTTCCTTGTTTGGAAATCGCCTGCTTCGGGCAAGAACAATCTTCCTAGTTCCCCACAGCCCTTATCCCGCCGCGCTAGGCTATGAAATTTGACCTCTTCGGGCTACCGTCGCGCGGACCGGAAGGGCGCTCGACATTGCTTCCGGGCCTTCCTTTTGCTTTTCCCCCTCGTCTCCCTCACGCTGCTTCCGCACCCCATCTCTCTCTGCCGTCGGTTCGTGTGTGTGTGTCTGCCAGGCCGAGCCCTGGAGCCGAAACCTGGGGTCCGTGTGGAGAGAGACGCGGCCCGCGTGCTTGGAGCCGGAGTCGTGAGGACTGACTGAGGCAGGCGGAGGCTGAGGCGGCCCCGGGTGGTTTGCTTGCGGGAGGTCGCAGCTGTGTGTAGAAAGCTGGCGGAGAGCGAGGGGCGGGGCCGGGGCCGGGGCGCGCGGTTCGGCGGCGGCGGCGGCGGCGGCGGGTGGGCGAGGCCGAGCGGCGGCGAGGCGCGGGAGCGGGCCGGGGCTGCTGCTGCCCTAGGCGGCGGGACCCGTGCGCGCTGATGGCAGGGGGTGTTAGTGTCGCCTCTGCGGCGGGCTTGGCCGCGTTCGTGGGAAAGAGCTTGCACTTCTGCCTTTCCGTTCTTCTTCCTTCCTTCCTGCTGGACGTAGACTCCGGGGCCTGCCTGGTGCAGCAGAGACCCCCTTCCCCTGGGCGGCATCCCCCTGCCTGCCTGGTCGTAGGAATTGCTTTCCACGGGGAAGCAAAGTTACGTGAGAGAAAAAAGGGCAAAAGAACCCAAGATGCGATTAGTTGATTACGGAGCAGCAGTGTCCGGTGGACGTGGTACTTCAGGTTAGACACAGTGTAGAGACAAGTTCGTCTTACTAATAAAGACACACAGAAATACCTTCCTTTGTAGATAAGCCCGCCTCAGTTTTCTGCAACATTGTTTTGGGTAGCTCCCAGTTGCAGATTGGTGTTGTCCAAGCTCTCTGAGCTGTTAGTTGTGACTCAGGTCCGTTGGTCTGCGTGATGAGGTGAGTTTCCCCAGAAAAATCTCCCGGTGAAGGAGGGGAGAGAACAGACTGTGAATAAGAGCTTGCGGGATAGGAGTGCGTTTTACGACGAGGCTGAATTGTGCGTGTGTTGATCTTAGAGTCATTTTAGTTCCTTGTTCTCACAGGGCAGAAGCATGTCCTCCCTCCCGGGGTGCATTAGTTTGGATGCAGCAACAGCTGCAGCTGACTCTGAAGACATTACTGAGCTGCAGCAGGCAGTGGTTGAAGAGCTGGGCATCTCTATGGAGGAACTTCGTCAATTCATTGATGAAGAGCTGGAGAAGATGGACTGTATACAGCAGCGCAAAAAGCAGCTAGCAGAGCTGGAGACGTGGGTGCTACAGAAGGAGTCTGAGGTGGCTTATGTGGACCAGCTCCTTGACGATGCGTCCAGGTGAGGGTTTGTGCAAGCAAAAGTGCATGTCCGTTTGCAGGCTTGTTACTGCGATTTTTCATGGCAAAGCTCAGTCGTGTGGGACCTTACGCTTCCTCAGGGCTTGTTTTTGGTTTTGGCTTTTTGGGTGTTTCAAGACAGGGTTTCTCTGTGTAGCTTTGTAGACGAGGCTGGCCTGGAAGTGGCAGAGATCCACCTGCCTCTGCCTCTGCCTCCCGAGTGCTGGAACTAAAGGCAGGGCCGCCCCTGCCGGCCTTCCTCAGGGTGCAGAGTGCAGAGTTGCAGCATCCACTTGTACCTGTGTGTATGGTAGCTGGTGCATGGTCAGCAGTAGGGAGGTTAAAGGTTTGGGTCCTTTGTCTTCCTCCTTTAGTGAACTTTGTTTCTTTAGTAAGATCTCCAGGAAGTGAAGGTTGTAGAGTTGATGTTTTCCGTTTTTTGCTTTTTTGTTTGTTTGTTTGCATCCTGAGGGTGGGGTGGGGGATGTTTCAAGATAGGGTTTTTCTGTGTAGCAGTAACAGTCTTGGCTGTTCAGGAACTCACTTTGCAGATCAGGCTGTCTTTGAACTCACAGAGATCTGCCTGCCTAAGCTTCCTGAATGCTGGAACTAAAGGCATTTGCCAGACCACCCAGCTCTGTTTTTCTTTTTGTTGTGAGACAGAATCTCAGTGTTTAGTTTTAGCTGGCCTGAAACTTGCAGAGATCTGCCTGTCAGTGCTGCAGTCAAAGCGTCCCAGCTTTTGTTTGGTTGGTTTTTAGGGTCTCCCCAATACTAGAGTGTGGCCTTGAATTTGTTTTGTAGATGAGCATGATCTCGGCCCTCCTGATCATTGTCTTTTGCATCCTGAGTGCTGGGATTATAGGTGTGGGTCAGCATGCCAGGACTATGTGTTGTGTTTGGGATAGCACCAAGGGTTAGGTAATCATTCTGCCAGTTGAGCTACATCCTCATCCTCTCAACTTGCTGTTTTTGACTGTGAAACATTAACAAATTCCAATCAGATTGTCACCACAACTTCAGATAACCAAGTAGACATTGTTAGTATTGCACTTGGGAATTTTGAATTGTTGATGAACTAGTTGAAAACTGATGTCTCTACTCTTTTTGTTTTGTTTTTTGTTTTTGAGACAAAGTTTCCCTATGTAGCAACTGCACATCCATCAATAATGATGTCTGGGGCTCTCTTCCATAGTGCAGACATTTAATAAGAAATAATTAAGTAAATCTTTTTTTTTAAGGTCTAGTGTTTGGGGATATATATGTGAGTGTAACTGAACTCAGCTCAGAAGAGGGCACCAGGTTCTCTGAGATATAGTGACAAGTATAAGCTGCTGATGTGGATTTTAGGTACCCAACCAGGATCCTGTAAAAGTGTACCTTTTAACCACTGAGCTGTCTCTCTAGTTTTTGTTTGGTTTGGTGTTTTGACTCATTATGTGCTCTTGGTATGCAGCTCAAAGTATAAACTACCCTCCTTCCCTGCCTTACTTTTTACTTTGCGACTGGGTCTGAATTGCACAGGCTGGCCTAACTCTTGTTCTGTAGCCACAGTGGGTGCCGTGTTTCTGCCTCAGTCTCTCAAGTAGTTGGGTTGGTAGGGTTGTCACCAGGCTCTGCTTTCCTTCAACATTTTTATATATGTATTTATTTAGAGCTTTTTGTTTTCCTTGTTGATGCTGGGGATTGAACCCAGGGCTGTATACATGCTATGCAAGCACTCTACCATTGAGCCACATGCCCAGACTTGTTTTGTTGGGGCAGTATCCCTCTGTGTAGCATTGGCTGTCCTGGAACTTACTCTTTATATCAGCCTTCCCTGAAATTCAGAGATCCACCTGCGTCTGTTGTTACTACTAATGTTTATACCACCACCCGGCCATCCCAGACTTTTGAATTGCTTTAGTCAATAATGTTTTCCTTCTTATAATTTGAGTTCATTTATTTATTGTTTCATGGAAAATTCCAGTGCCTACATCCATATAGTCATTGATGTTATTATCTTCCATAGGTGATGCTGGGAGCCGAATTCCAAAAGATCAGAAGGTTAGTTGGGTTGTTACAAGAAGTTAAGAAATACAGCACTCGGAAGCAGAGGTAAGGATATCTCTGTGAGTTCAAGGCTAACTTAGTCTACATTGTGAGTTCCAGGACAGCTAGGGCTGTGTAGAGAGACCCTGTTGGAAAAAACCAAAATAATAACAGAAAACAACACCCTTAATCTTGGCTCTGAGGAGGCAGAGACAAGTGGAGAGGTGGATCTCAATGGATTTGAGGTCAGCCTGGTCTACATAGGGAGTTCCAGGACAGTGAGCCTCTGTCTCAAAAACTTTAGTAATAGTAACACTAATAATAAGTAATCTTGTGGCTAGAATGTGGCTCTGTGTAAGAGCACTCACTGCTCTTGCAGAGGACCAGGGTTAAGTTCTCAGCACCCTCATGATCTCTTATAACCACTATGCCTCTAACTTCAGGGGATCTAATGTCCTGAGTTCACCAAGCACATATGTGGTACACATAAATACAGGCAAAACACTAGTACACATAAATAAGTTTGAAACAGATTTTTTAATTTGGTACAATGCTTGCCTAGCTTGCAGGAAGCCTTGGGTTAGTTATAGTACTGCCCCATCAGATTTGTCTTGTTGCATGCCTATAATCCCAGCACTCAAGACATGAAGGCAGAAAGACCATAAGTCCATGGTGATCCTTATCTACTTCATAAGTTCTTGGCAGGCCTGCACTATAGTTGACCCTATCTGTTTTGTTTTGTTTTGTTTTTTTTGAGACAAGGTTTCTCTGTATAGTCCTTGTTGTCCTGGGACTCAATCTGTAAACCAGGCTGGCCTTGAACTCGGATTCACCTGATTCTACCTCCCAAGTGCTGGGATTTAAAAGGTGTGAGACACTACCACCCGACTCAGGTGGCACTGCCTATAAAAATAGAAGAAGCAGCATTTGAAAGTGGGGATAATTTTGGTCTGAGCATACAGTCAGTTTAGTCTCAACGTATTCACCGTGTAGTAGGCGCCATAAGCTAACAAGTTGTCTTATAGATAATTGCAAGAAAACAGAAAAATTGAGAAGTTGCTTCTTACCACAGCTCCACATATAATTGAATTTGTTTTGATTGTTGAAGACAAGTTCTTCCCAGGTGTTGTATTCTTTTTCTGTTTTATTTTTATTTATTTATTTTTGCGGCATCATGTTAGGCAAGTGCTGTTTCACTGAGTCCCTGGCATTGTGTCCTAACTCCTAACAGCTGCATCCCTCCCCATCCCTGTCTATCGTCCTACAGCTCCGAGAAGCTATGGCTGCCTTAAGAAAATCAGCTCAAGATGTCCAGAAGTTCATGGATGCTGTCAACAAGAAAAGCAGTTCCCAGGATCTACATAAAGGTTAGTGTTGAGGAGTTGGTAAGTCCTTTCTGAAATGTTACTGACAATCAGCTTTGCATCTCAAAATCCTGTTCTAACTGTCAGTTTTCTTTTAATATGTTTTTATGTGCACAGTCAGTCTGAGATTGTTTGATGGGGTGACTCAACTGTTAATTGTGGTTACTATTAGCTCTGTGAAATTATAAGGAGTTAGCGATAGCCAGTTGTGGTGCCACATGCTGGTAGGATATGCCGAAGGGTACCCTTAGGCATGTGAGGATGCTCTGTGTTCAGTGTGGTGTTTCTCTTGTTAGCCGTCTTGTGTTTCTGCCTTTGTCCAAGAGTTCAGCAAAAGTGGCTACAGGTCAAGGAATGATGCCTCAGCTCCCTTTATTTCTGCACTGCCTTCCTTGTTTGCTTTGATAGGTCTTCTATATCCTAGGCCTGCCTTGAGCTTCATAGTTTGCTGAGGATGACCTGAAACTTGTGGTCCTCCTGCCTTCCCTGCCTGGGATTTTAGACATTAAATACTCTGCCAGGTGTGTGCAGTACTTAGATTGAAATTCAGGGCTTTGTGCATGCTAGGTAAGCACTCTCCCAGCTGAGCTGCATCCCCATCCTACCATACTGCCTTCTTGACCTTCCCTTTCACTCTTCATACCAACTCTGTCTCTAGGAACCTTGGGTCAGATGTCTGGAGAACTGAGCAAAGATGGGGACCTGATAGTCAGCATGCGGATTCTGGGCAAGAAGAGGACTAAGACATGGCACAAAGGCACCCTTATTGCCATCCAGACTGTTGGTATGTTTAAGTAGAGGAAGGACTAAGGGAAGGAAGCCTGTGGGACTCGGTTGCTGGTCCTTCCCCAAAGCCTTTCCTTTTGTCCCCTGCATTGCACCCAGGACTCACGGTGTGTGACTGTTATTGTTTGTTTTGTTTTAATTTTGTTTTTCTTTTCCCCAGGGCTAGGAAAGAAATACAAAGTGAAATTTGACAACAAAGGAAAGAGTCTGCTGTCTGGCAACCATATTGCCTATGATTACCACCCTCCTGCTGACAAGCTGTTTGTGGGCAGTCGAGTGGTGGCCAAATACAAAGATGGAAATCAGGTCTGGCTTTATGCTGGCATTGTAGCTGAGACCCCCAACGTCAAGAACAAGCTCAGGTACCTGGACAGGAGTGTAGATTGTAGGGGAGTAGGAGCTGGTAGCACAGCACCACTCTTCATATTGTAGCCAAGATTTCACTGTCAGCTTTTGTGTCCTCAGTCCCTTGTGATCAGAGACTCTTCCTCTTTTCCCGTGTCATATCTTTTTCTTTCTTCCTTCCTTTTTTTCTTTTGTTTGTTTATTTTTTTAAGACCATATCTCTATATGTAGCTCAGGCTACTGTCACACTTCTTTTGTTTGGTTTTTGAGACATGGTCTCTCTGTGTAGTCCTGGTCGTCCTGGAATTTTCGCTGTAGTCCATGATTGACCAGAACTCAGATATCCACCTGTCATGTCACACTTTTTATGTATCCCAGATTGGTCTCATATTCACAAACCCCTGCCTTTGTCTTGTGAATGCTTTAATTAGAGATATGTACTCCCACACTTGTCCTTTTAGGGAAATAATTCTTCATGAAAAGTCAAAAATTAATCAGGATTTATTAATAGTGAATGCTGAGGGGAGAAAGAAGTGGAGATTAATTGGTATCATAGCGGTATATAGAAGAATACATATTTGGGAGCTTATTTTTTGGTTGTTGGAGACAGGTTTCTCTATGTTGCTCTTGCTGTCTTGAGACTCAGTCTGTAGAGCAGGCTGGCCTCAACTCAGATATCTTCCATCTCTGCCTCTGAAGCGCTGGGATTAAAGTTCTCTGTCACCATTCCTGGCTTTCAGCCTGTTTTGTTTTGTTTTTTGTTTTGTTTTGTTTTTTGATATCTGGTTTCTCTGTGTAGCAGTCCTAGGTATCCTGGAAGTAGCTCTGTAGACCAGGCAGCCCTCGCACTCACAGAGATCCACCTGCTTCTACCTCCCAAGAGCAGAGATTAAAGTTGTGCACCATTACCTCCTGGCTTTTGTTTTATTTTAAGTTGTGTAGTAGTATCTGCTTAGATTTGCACTGTTCTCAGTGTGCTGAACCGCCTACATCAGTCATTAATCAAGAAAATGCCCCCAGATTTGTCTACTGGCCAGTGTAATGTGTCGTGCCATGTTTTACTCCTTTGGCCTTTGGGGGACTTGCTTTGGGAGACCCGCCACCCATCTCCCAAATCGATCACACAGGGAGGCTTATTAATTATGAATGCCTGACCTTAGCTTGCTTTCCTGAACTTAAATGATCCCATCTACCTTTTTCCTTTGGTCTTTTTCTTTTCTTACATGTATTTTACTTTCAGTCTTACTGTGTGGGTAGTTGGGTCGCTGGCTGGCTGGTCCCTGACATCCTCCTTCCCTTGTTCTCTTGTTGCTCTTTGTCTTCCTTGTTTCTTCTTCTGTTCAGATTCTCTGTCTGTCAGTCCCGCCTATCCTTGCTCCTGCTTTGCTGTTGGTCATTCATCTCTCTATGAAACCATCATGTATTTTAAGGCAGGCAAAGAATCATAGTTTCACAGAATTAATCAAATGCAGCATAAACAAAAGTAACACACCTTAAAATAATATTCTACAACAGTAATAGAAGTATTTTCTACTTCCTTTTTTCTTTCTTTCTTTTCTTTTCTTTTTTTTTGTGACAAGGTTATGTGGCTCTTGGTGGCCTGGAACTCATAGAGAGCCACCTGCCTTGGCCTCCCAGGTACTGTCATTACTTAAGTGACATTTCCTCTTCTCAGATGGTCCTCAGTTATGTCAAATGTATAAAATAAATAGCACATTTGAATTTATAAAATAGTAGTTTACCAGGCATGGTGGGAAATAGTTTTAATCCCAGTATTTATTTGGGAGGCAGAGACAGGTAGATCTGGTATAGAGTGAGTTCCAGGACAGCCAAGGCTACACAGAAGAAACTTGTCTTGAAAAATCATTAGTAAGTAAATAAATAAATACTTTAAAAAATCTTTCTTATAACAGGCAGTGTGACTCACATCTATAATCTAGCAGTCAAGAAACTATAGAGGATCACTTCAAGTTTGAGGATAGCCTGGGCTACATGGTGAGATCCAGTATACCCTAATTGACAGTGTGAGATCCTTTCAGCTGGGTGTGGTTGCAATTGCCTGTAATCCCAGCACTTTGTTTTGTGTTTGCTATGTAAGTACTCTCCCAGCTGAGCCACATCCCCATCCTGTAATACTGCCCTCTTGACCTCTCTCTAACATATGTCATCACTCTTATACCAACTCTGTGTCTCTAGGAACCTGGGTCAGATGTCTGGAGAACTGAGCAAAGATGGGGACCTGATAGTTAGCATGGGGATTCTGGGCAAGAAGAGGTTCTAAGTAAGGTCAGCAGCCTTACATATTGAGACCCTGTTTTAGGAAACAAAGGGGCTAAAGACTGTGTTTTGCTGGGGGCAAGCCTTTAATCCCAGCACTCAGGAGGCAGAGGCAGGCGGATCTCTGTAAGCTCGAGACCAGCCTGGTCTGCAAGAGCTAGTTCCAGGACAGGCTCCAAAGCCACAGAGAAACCCTGTCTCAGAAAAACAAACAAACAGAAGACTTTGTGTTTAACAGTACTTTCTGTTGCTCCAAATGACCTGAATAAGTTTCCAGCACCCATATCTGATGGTTCACAACTATCTGTATTTGTATCTCCATGGGATCTGACACCTCTGCCTACTCACCTCGCTGTACTTATGTACACAGACTTAAATGTAGACATAGATACATATAATTAAAAGTAATAAAAATTTACCTAGGGTTTGAGTAACCTTTGTTTACTCAAAAAACCAAGAAAAAAGAAAAATTAAAGACTATACCAAACCTAAAATAAACCAACCATTCAACAGAATAACCTTAGGCAACTAACAAACCAAACCTGAAGTCAACGTGATATTTGTCTTGTCACTATATCGCTTCTTAGTGGATAATTTATTAAACTTTTACTTTTTTATAGTTATTTTGTGTGTGTGTATGATGTTTCTATTGAGGTCAAAGGACAGTAGTGGAGTTAATTCTCTCCTTTCACTTTTAAGTGGCTTTTGGAGGATCCAACTTCAAGTGCCTTTAGTTCTTGAGGTAGCTTGCCAGTTCTACTTATTTATTTTTAAATGTTTTTTTTAGACTTTGTGTATGGGTGTGGGGGTGCATATGTTATGGGGTGTGAAGAACTGAGGGTAATTTTCAGGAGTCAGTTTTCTTCTTCCCTCCTGTAAGTTAAGAGCATTGTAATTTGGGTTGTTAGGCTTGGCTGTATGTGCGTTTACCAGTGGAATCATCTTGATGGCAAATGCTTAAATATTTGGTGAATTAGATTGTAAGACAAGACAAGGGTAGTAACATATGCTTGTAATCCCACATTGGATGAAGAGGCAGTAGAACCAGGAATTCTAGGTCATTCTCTTCTACGTGGTAAATTTGAGGTCAGTCTGAGCTACATAAGACCTTTTTTCCTGGTTGGAGACAGCATCTGGAGGCATCCTTGGAATAGGAACCTGTGGCGGTTATCTGTTTCTGGTGTAAGTGATTTCTGCCCGAATAAACATCCATCAGACAATACTTTGCCCTGGAATCTTGTTTCCCATGCTTTAGGGTCTTTCTACATAGCCCTGGCTATCCTGGAACTCACTTTGTAGACCATGCTGGCCTGGAACTCTCAGGGATCCATCTGCCTCTGTCTCTTGAGTGTTGGAATTTAAGTGTGTTCACTACTATGCCTTGTTTCAATTGTATTTCTTGATTTGTAAAATTGTAGAATTTTCCCCATGGTTTTGTGAGTATGCAGTGTCTGTTCTGAGTTGCCCAGTTTTTATAATTGGTCAATAATTCTGTGTGGCTATCACCTTGCCATTTGTAAAAACTTGTCATTTTATCCTCATTGACATAAAAGTATGAGATTCACTTTGTAGTACAGATAGGACTCTGTCTTCTGAGTGCTGGTATATGTGTCTTAATAAAGAGATCTTAATTCATTGCCTCCAGTTTTGTCTATTGACATTTTTAGTACGTTGATAATCACCAAGTTCCTTTTATGTTACCAGGTTTAGAACAAGCTCTAAAAAGTTATTTACTGGACTTTTACTAGGACAAAGGTCCTTAAAGGAAAAGTCTAGAAAGGATTAGATCCCTGTATGAAGTTGACATATTAGAACATATAAAGAGTATTACATAACGAATCCTCTGTAGGGAGCATATGCAGACGAACCCACTAGTAAAGTAAACTTTTTAGTAAAATACTCGTTTTCATTGCATTTTACTGCCGTGAACTTGGTCTTGAATCTCTGACGCAAAGGAGGCAGGATTAGGGAAACAGCTGGTAGGCTTCCTAGCGCTCGGGTCACTGGACTTACTGGCCTAGTCATTAGCCAGGCCCCTATGTGGACTTCGTGCTTCTATTGGTCAGGTCTCCCGAGGAGGCTGTCTACGGCCTGGCCGCGCCCATGGTGTGGGGCGTGTCTTCTCCCCGGGTGGGGGGGGGCTGGGCGTCCGCCATCTTGGATTCCGCGGTAGCAGTGGCGGCGGTAAGGTGCCGATTCTGCGGAGTGGCTCTCCCCTCCCCTCCCCCAGCTCGGTGGCGGCTGCCCCTCCCACTGAGGGTGGTGCAGCGACGGTGCCATCTCGACCATGGCGGCGACTGCAGCTAACCCAGGTGAGACGAGGGACTGACAAGTGCGGAGAACCGGGGCCGGGCAGCCGGGCCTGGCGTAGGGTGGTGGGGGAGGGGTGTGGGGAGGCGTCTTGCCCGGAGGAGATGTGGAACCGGTGAGGAGGTTTGGGGGCTCTAAGTCCCGGACTTGGAGTAGCGGAGGTGCTGGGTTGGGCGCTTTCACTCTGCTGGTGGTGGTAGGGAGTGGTGTGGTCTTTTAACCCTCTGCCCGCTGCTGACGTCCCCAGATGTCTAGAAAGTAACTGGGCAAAGTGGCTTGGTTTACTGAGAGTAATCTCGGCTGTAAACATGGGACCACACTGATGTTTCGTAAGGTCTGGATTCCAGAGTTGGGACGGTTTACTTTTAAATGTAAAACTTGGTTCTTCTTGTGGTGTGTAATTCCCACCCGCCACCTTCCTCCTCGGGCTATACTTTGAAACATGGGGGCTTACGGTTTTTTTTTTTTTTTTTTTTTTTTTTTTAGTGTAGTTATAGTGTCTGCTCCTGAAGGCAGAGGTTTGGGTAATGCTTGTATTTTAGGACAGGTCTTTGTCCAGAACTCAGGTTTTTAAATCTTGTTAGGTCTAGGTGGAGCAATTCCTATTCTTTCAGAAAAATGTCCCATGCCATTTGTGGATGTCCTTTTCCTTTTTTCTTTCTGTTATTTTATTTTGAGACATCGTCTCATTCTAGTTCCATGTTGGCCTTGAACCGCTGCTATTTCTAAGTTTTAAAAATTATGTACATGGGAATATTTACACAGAGTGCAGGTGTGGGAGGGGTTCAGAATAAAGTCATGGATCCCCTGGAGCAGGAATTGTAAGCCACAGAATGTGGATGCTGAGAACTGACCTTAGGGCCTTTTAGAACACACATTCCTAACTATTGGACCTTCTCTTCAGCTCCTAAATATCAGTTTCTTAATCCTAAATTTTTGTTTGTTTGTTTTCGGAGATGGAGTTTCTCTGTGTAGCTTTGGAGCCTGTCCTGGAACTCATTCTGTAGACCAGGCTGGCCTTGAACTCACAAAGATCCATTTGCCTCTGTCTCCTGAGTACTGGGATTAAAGGCCTGTGCCACCAACACCTGGCTCTGTCTTAAATCATTTTTTATATAAAAGGTGAAATAAATTGTCAGGATTTCTGTTGGAGTTTTTGCTGAATCACGGAATGAAAGTATACAACTGGAAAATGTTAGGGAAAGCCAGACCTGGTTGTAAAGTAGCTGATGTCTGATTTAGAGAATAAAGAAGATTTCAAACTGTTCACACATTGCAAAATCCTTATGTAACTCTTCAGAGTGCAAAGTGTTTCTCTTGCTAAGAAGTGCCACAGAAACACAGATTTTAGTGTGTAAGTCAGGAGTTTTTCTAGCCTGGTGGGTGGAGCTGCCTTATTTGTTCTGTTTTAAACAAGTCACCAGAATGACAGTCTCTTGACCAGATATTCATTTCCTGATCAATATTAGCCAAAGTTTCTAAGCAGTAAATATTTTTTTTTTTTTTTTTTTTTTTTTTTTTTCTGAGTAGGGGTATTTGAGAGGCTGGTCTTGAACTTGAAATAGTGCTCTTGTGTATACAAGTGCTGGCATTACAGGCATCTGCAACTGTATACAAAGTTGCAAAAAAATTGTTTTAACAAGGTGAAGAAATCCTTGTAATGAAACAGTTGGGGAGTTTTGTTGTTGTTGTTTTGAGACAGGGTTTCTCTGTGTAGTTCTGGTAGTCCTAGAAGGTGCTCTATTGATGAGGCTGGCCTTGAATTCAGAGAGCTCTGCCTCCCTAGTGCAGGAATTTAAAGGCATGTGTCACCACCATCAGGCATAAACAGTTGATTTTGTTTATTTTCATTTAGTTGCTTTCTTCTTCAATTTTGAGTGTGTGTGTGATGTCCCTGATGCAGGCTAGAAAGATGGAAAATTATGGGGACATGGGAAGGGAAAGGAACCATTCACAGTCTGGCTGAAGACATTATTAACATTTGCTAAGACTTTTCTCCTTCCCAGTTGTAGAACTTAAGTTTTCTAGAAGTTTACCAGAATCTGCCTCTGTAAGACAAGGGCATGTTCTGAACTCCTCATGTGTCCTATATGGCTCCTGGTGTTGAGGAATAATTGTACTTACCTAAAGAAGAGAGAGGACTTCTGAACTCCTTTAATCTTTGCATAGGCAGGGAGATATCTGCGTTAAAGGCTTCCAGGCTACATAGTGAGATCTTGTCCAAAGTAAATAAGTAAATAAAAAAGCCAAACAACAAAAAATGGGTTCTTAGCAAACCTTTGAGATGTCACAGGAGTCTTCTAAGACACTTAATTGCTGGTCTCATTTAGTAAGCTTTAGTAAGCCCATACTAATACTTTAGGATGTCTTCTCTTTCCTGAGCACCTTTTCTTTCTTTTTAAACCTTTGAGCTTGAGATCTGTATTGTAATTGCTTTTAATAAACTTTAATTTTGCATCATAGTGTCTTGTCCAGAAATTCTTCTCTGAGTAAAGTCAGGAATCCTAGTGAAGTTCCTTAATACCTGAGTGAAGTTCCCTAAAGGGAAAGGAAGCTCTCCAGGCTGCTGTCAGGGAAAGCATTAGAATGCAGTTGTTGTTCCTGCTGTAGCTAACATTGTTGAGCCAAGGCTCCTTCAGCCTCTGGAGTGCTGGGATTACAGTCCTAGCCTAGAACCACCACACCACACTTGAGATTGATTCCCTACTGTCTGTGTTTGTCATCTGTCCTTCCTACCTTTTCCTGGGGCTACATCCCCAGTGCCTGTTGAGAATTCGTCCATCTAACTTACTGATTCCTTGTTCGCTAATGCATGATAATTAAGTCAGAAAACAATGCCCTTTTGTTGTTGTTTATTCCCCTTTCCCTTTTGTATTGAATAGAAGATGTGTTGTGGGCTTTTTAGTAACCTGTTGAATTTTGGAAAATGAGATCCATGATTGAAGGGGCATACTATGGGAAATGTACTATGCTCAATGAAAAGAAAATAAGTGGTTCTTATGTGAAATTTCCTTCCTCTTGAGATCAGGCTAGCTTGGAACTCATTATATAAGCCAGGCTGTCCTCAAACTTACCTTGATTTCTCTGTCTCTGACTCCTTTGTGTTAAGATTATAGGTTTAACACCAGCTATTATGGAATTCTCTTGGTTTTGTTTCCTTAGATCAGCATTAGAGACCAGGGACATCATTTCTTTGAATTTTTTCCTTTTTTCCCCTTTCTTTCTTTCTTTCTTTCTTTCTTTCTTTCTTTCTTTCTTTTCTTTTTTTTTTTTTTCAAAACAGGGTTTCTCTGTGTAGCCCTGGCTGTTGTGGAACTCCCTCAGTAGACCAGGCTAGACTCTTAAGTCAGAGATCCACCTGCCTCTGCCCCCAAGTGCTGGAGCTAAAGGCCTGCGCCACCATGGCCTGGCTCTTTGAAATTCTTCTATTTTGTTTTTGCTTAAGTGAGTTTTGATTATATTTCTTTGCAATTCTTGCTAGTTTTATCTTCAAATGCCTGAAAAACAAAACAAAACAAAACAAACAAACAAAAAACCCCAACTTTTTAAAAGTACTATTGTGGCCGAGTGTTGGTGGTGCAAGCCTTTTAGTCCCAGCATTTGGGAGTCAGAGGCAGGCAGATCTCTGAGTTCGAGGCCAGCCTGGTCTACAAAGCTACACATAGAAACCCTAACTCAAAAAATAAAAAACAAACAAAAACAAAAAAAAAGAACAAAAAATTACTATTGTGGTGCTGGAGAGATGGCTCATCAGTTAAGACCACTGGCTGCTTTTCCAGAAGATCTGGAGTCAATTCCTAGCACTAGAGTGGCAGCTCACAACTGTCTGTAACTCCAGTTCCAGGGGATCCCAGACCCTCACACAGACAATGTAGCAAAACACCAATACACATAAAGTAAATAACTTTTTAAAAAGTATTATAGTGTGTTTATGTATGTGTATGTTGCTCACACTGTGGTTTGCAGTGTGGAGGTTAGAGGACAACTTTCCAGAATTGATTCTTTCTTGTTCATGCCTGTAATTCCAGTCCTTGGGAGACTGAGGCATGAAGATTGCCACAGGTTGAGGCCGAACAGACTTTTTTCTAAGCTTCATTTAAGTTAATATTTAGGGTTGGAAACTTTTTGAGCATGTTAATTTGTGTGCTAGGTGTTGCTGTAGAGAAGCTCAGTGGTTAGAAGCACTGGTTATCCAGAGGATCCAGGTTCAATTCCCAGCACCTACATGGCTTCATGCAAACATTTCCAACTCTAATTCCAAGGGATCTGATGTCCTTTTCTGGCATCTGTAGGCACCATATATGCGCATGATACACAGGCATACATGTGGGCAAAGCATCCATATATGTAAGGTGTCTGTGAGGTGACTGAGTGGGTTAATCATTTGTTGACAAGCTTGATGATCTGAGTTCCAACTATGGTCTCACATGGTTGCAGGAGAGAGCTGACTTCTGTAGTTCCTCTGACCTCACATGTGTGCTGTGTGCACACATGTCTAATGTCTTTCAAAAGTCTGCTAATTATACTTTACCTTCTGTTGGTGTTAGAAATTGAATTTCGGGCCCTCACATGTTATGCAAGTCTCTAACAGTCTCTAACATTGAGTTATAGTCCCTCCCAGCTATAGTGTGTGTGTTTGTATGTAGAGGTCAAAGGGTAATCTAATCTCCAGTTTCTTCACCTTCTGTTTTGTTTGACACAGCGTCTCCTGTTTGTTTTTGTGTTTTTATTTTTATTTATTATTTTATTTTTTGAGGCACTGTTTCTCTGTGTAACAGTCCTGCCTGCCCTGGAACTTGCGTTGTAGACCAGGCTGGCCTTGAACTCACTGCGAGATCCTCCTGCCTCTGCCTCACCAGTGCTAGGATTAAAGGCGTGTGCCACCACTGCCCTGTTCACTGTTATGTATACCAAATTAGCTGTAGCTTCTAGGGACACTCCTGATTCTGGTTTCCACCTCACAATAGGAGTATTGGGTTTCTCAGTTCTGGAGATTTGAACT